GGAGGGCCTAAACTAGATGCTCGTGCATCATACACATGTAAAATATAATAAAAAGGCGACTAAGTGTGTTTAATGGTATGATTAGTGAATAATTAAGACTCAATCATCCACTAATCCATCTCCCCATGAATGTTTTTTATATGTATGAGCTATATTTAAAATTTTATGAAGTGGATCACTCGAAATTAAGGGATTTAATTATATATGTAATTTTTAAATATTTAAAATACCCATAAGTATGTAAATTTTGAAAAATAATATAATTAATATAATTCAATTGATAAGAATACATAACTATAGGGGTGAGCCACTGATTAGCCGAACGAGGATACAAAATAGATTCAAAATTATTTTTAATTTAAAAATAATTAACATATTAATTATTTAAATAATATTTAAGTAATGAAGATAATCAAATAATACAAAAATAAATCATGATATTTAAAGATAATTTTAATTTTAAAATAAAGATGATAAAAATATGATCGATTTGATATATTATACATTTTTTTTGGATTAAAATATAATTTGTAATAATTTTTTAAAAAATTATGATTAAAAAAGGATTTTAAATAATTAAATTACTTATTTTAAAATAAAAATGACAGCGGCGGTAGCAGGCCACGTCTTGGCTCGGGATTGGTCCTTATCCGTGGCAATCATTAGAGATGATTGCACGACGGCGCATCAATGACCAATGATTGTGCCACAGCGCAATCATTGGGCACTCATTACCTGCGGCTGACGTAGTTAACTTAACCACGTTAGCTAGCTGCGGGTACTGTCGGATCTCCGTGGTTTTGATACAGACAGTCTTGATTTGGTCAGACGAAGGATATTAACCGCTAATTGATTCGCACGGTCGAAAAGAACCACGGAGCGGTGGATCAAATCAAACAAAATTTAAAGGTAAGTTATAGAAGTGAAGAGTATTCATGGGGGACTAAAATCACGATCTAAAACACGCTTAATATGAAGCTCAATCCAGGTGTTTTATCTCAATCCAATGAATAGATTCAAGAGATCTTTATACAGTTAAGCTTTTAGACTGTCATCGTACAAGTTCCTAGTTGAATCCGCAACCAAACGAGCTCTTGATCATCAAGAATTGGCTTTGGAAAGGTTTTAGCTTTGGTTGGCCGGAGATCTCTCCGCTAGCGAGGGTTTAGCGACGAGTTTAGGTCGGGAAGGGTGGAAGAAGATGTAAGGGGCTCTCACACAAAGTTTCACCTCTCTTGGAGGCTTAGTAAGAGAGGAATTGTAAAACGATGCCCAACACAAACCTTAAACTCCTTATTTATAACCCTAGGCTATAGATGAACGGTTAGGATTGGATCTCCAGTAAATTAGGAGGGAAGAGGGTGTATTAGGATGAGATTAGGCTCAAGAGATGAATAGGGAAGGATTTGAATGCATTAAGTGGCTTAATTTGACCCAAATAGGTTAGGTTAGACCAACCAAGACTTGGGTTGACCAAGCCATAAGTTGAACTGGTTAATTTGGTCACATGAGTGCAAGGGATGAGTGGATTGAGTCAAGGGTAGGTTTGAATTTAAAAAGAGCTTGAGTTGACCCAATATGGCTTAATTGGTCAACCTGGGTTGACCTGGTCAACCAAGTTGACCCAAGGCAAGGGTCTGGGCTTAATGGATTGGGTCTAACCCACTAGGTCCACGGGAGGTGAGATTTGAGCTCAAGAAAGCTTGGAATGGATTTAAAATTAAAAGTGAGAGGGTATGCATCAACTAGGTTGACTTGGCCAACTAGATTAACCAAAAGCCTAGGTTTGCGCTCAACAGGTTTGGATTGACCCACTGAACTTAAGAGATGTGATCTTAGGGCTTAGCTTGGTCAATTTGACTAAGTCTACCCTTTGACCTAAGGGTTTAAGCAAAAGAGAGGTCAACAATGGCCACCTGATTTATTAAGGTGCAGTTCTAGCAAGGGGATATGTTGTGGAATCTCTAGGATAAAATATATTTTTAAGTCTTTTTTGAAAACTACTTCATTCTTATTTATGCATTAATGTTCGATTAGCATGCATTCCACTAAAAACAAATTAAAAAGAGTAAAGATAAATTGAGAAGGGATAATAGAACCAGAAGGAAAGTAGGAGATATCAGGTCATAAAGGGATTGAGGGATTATACAAATTTTGAAAATGTCGAGTAATTTGCGGCATTTCCATATTTCCCTTCCAAGGCAGCCATGATAGATGTTCCATTATAGTTCTTTCTCAAACAAATTTTAGGAGTAAAGAAAATTGAGATCATCATCTCCATTCTTCAACCATTAGCTTTAGCTATTTGAATAATCCATGATGACCAAGAGGATGAAATATTAGCAATCTTATCATTAAGAGTTTTAGAGAAGTATTTAGGTCTATATTATTAGGAACAGAGTCCAAAAGTGAAAGACAAGCATTTTGCTGTATGTAAAGGTACTTTAAAGAAGCATCAATAACAAAGTAGGAGGCCCAAGGTTTGGCTTTAATGCATGCTTTCACCCTCTTAAGCTTGTTGAAATGGTCCACAATCAGATTGCCACAAAAAGGTTCCATAAAAACATTTAGCAAAATGTCCCAATACCCATCCAACTTCATCTAGAAATTCTTAAATTAAAACTGACGCAGCTTAGAGTGGGAAATGTGATCTTTTAATATAAGAGGTGAGTGATCCAAAGCAGAGAGGGTCCTCAATAGAATATAGCGAAGTAGGATAAACATATAACCATGCATCATTGACTAAAGTCCTGTCAACTTTCATGTGTATAAGATTTTTAGCTTACTGATTAAATCAGGTGTAAAAGTGGCCAACTGAGGCTTGCCCTTTTAATTGAATGTAAAAAATAAGACAGTTGAGATACCCTAACCTACTGTAATGAAAAATTGAGCCTCAAACTTTTTCATTTTGATATCTACAATTTAGTCTCCTATAACAATACATGGCATGAGAGAGGATAGGGTTATGGCTCGAATTTGCTGCTAGAGAGCAGAGTGTTCCTCCGTAGAATTAAAAGCATAAATTATAGATAATAAGAGTATACCCATATTGCATCTTATCATTTGGGATGAAGTAAAAGGTGTGAATTGCAACTTCGAGGATGACTATTTAGTCCAAATTCTATAAGACAAAAAGATTAAAGTAGTTAAAATTAGCTTCAATTTTGAAAATATAATGAGTAGCATGGAACCATGGATCGGAGGAGGCAACATGAATTCGATTCTCCAATAAACAGAGCATACCCAGATTATGTTTCACATGGCATCAACCTCCACTCATACTGGATTTGCATATTAACTATTTCATCCTCGATGGAAATAGGAATATGGTGTGAATTGCACCTTCGAGAGGATGACTATTTAGTCCAAATTCTATAAGACAAAAAGATTAAAGTTGTTAAAATTAGCTTCAATTTTGAAAATATAATGAGTAGCATGGAACCATGGATCGGAGAAGGAGGCAACATGAATTCGATTCTCCAATAAACAGAGTATACCCAGATTATGTTTCACATGGCATCAACCTCCACTCATACTGGATTTGCATATTAACTATTTCATCCTCGATGGAAATAGGAATATAAGCCAGATATGTGATTTTGTTGTTAACCTAGAAACACATCCGAGCATAAGCAAGCAATGATTTTTCAATAGTGAGTGTATCAACTGTCAAGTTGATGCCAATTTTACTAGCGATCCAAAAAAAAAACCTTTAAATTTCCAACAATGAAGCGAAAGGTCGAGAATTTTAAACTAGATTGAGATCAATGTGAAGTTTTCTCTTTGAGGCCAAAATCTAAAATATCATTTCTAAAAGATAAAAGTCTTTCCTAAAAAGACTCATACCCCGTTAGACCAAATCATCTCAAAGTTCAAAGAGAATAAAAATTAAATGAGTAAAAAAAAATTCTCTCAAGTTAAATAATTGGATAGTACCTTAGAGCTTCTAAGTTTTACAAATGAATGATAGAAGGGTCTCATAATAAGGTAGAATTATTCTATGCAAAGTGCGGAGAGCACTCGAAGCCTAATAAAAATGCATCATGTCACCTCAGTGGTGGATACCCATCTCGGTACCAACACTCAATACCGCTGGATACCCAATGCTTAACCAAATGATTCTCCCGTTCGATGTCCGTACAGAATAAAAGCTCCATAATAAGACCTCCCAACCAAATAACCAACCAGAGATATATTCCATTCCTCCAAGGCAACATCCATCTTAATTTTAGGAAAAACGATGACATCCTCTTGCGTGTGGACAAGAAAAATAGGAAAGCTTGAGGGGTTAAAAATATTTTTCCAATCTAACAGCAAGCTATGATAGATTCCCCTCCGACCCAACCGGAGAAGACAAGCAAGTGAGAGTAACATAAGGGGAGGGATGCTAGGGTACAAGAAACCCAAGCAAACAAAAAGCCCATAAAGATTCAGTCTACTACCATACATAGTTAACACCAGCGGCACACACCAAAGACCAGTATCCCCGAAAACGCTAACGCGGTCTCCTTCAACCCAAACACAAAAACATCCCGCTTCTCTCTTTTCTCCCAAAATCCCTATTCTCAAAGCCCCCGTGATTTCCTATTAATATACTCTACAAACTATAAATATGCCCACACAGAATCGTACAATCGACTGCTCCCCATTTCCTTTCAATCTCATTAAAGAATAGATATCGCCCACCTCAATCCCTCTCTTCTGCCCATCTCTTCACCCTTTTGCCTGCATCATTACCTCATTAATGCTCGCCGCTTCATCTCCCCGATGCCTATCTAAAAAAAAACGTTACAGTAAAACTGAACATATTTCTCTTATAGATTTGAACGTTTAAAAACCATTACAAGTACATAATTCATAAGGAAATAAGAAGATAAACATCGCCATTAATACTGTCCAACTTTCTCTCGGTCTATCCACCCGTTGGGAGATTGTAAAAGGCATAGATAGAAAGTGAGAGAGAAGGCACACTGCAGCTTTGATCTTCACTAATCATGTCGTCAAGAAAGAGAAAGTTGAGCGAGTTTCCCAACTAATTGTTCAGCAGGGTCACAAGAACCATCACGACTAGGCTGGAACTGGACTGGAAGATACTCGGTTGACGAGCAGGTGAACAGAGATCGCCTGAAATGCTTCACAAGTTCTTCCAAGCCCTGTTCAATCCCAAGTCAATAATCACGCTATAGTTCTGCGTTGTAGGAACAGATTAGTATAAATATTGAAACTTGCCTGAATCTTCGCGTGGGTAATCTCGCAAATCTTGCGAGAGCCGAATGTGTTCCAAGGCATCATGTGCATGTCTTGATAGAGCCTCTTAGCAGCCACAGAACTTGTGAAGTTGACGAACGCATAGCCAAGATTATTACCGCTTCTGTTTTCACAAAACCATAAAATAAATCACAGAGATAGATTATGTAGTCAACAGTAACATATATAAGATCTCCACTTACATGAAATCCATTGGGAGGTAAAGGAAGTCAAACTCAGAAGATGCAGTAACAGAGCCTTCGTCCTTAATCTTCTGGTTCTGAACACGACAATGTTGATCAAGCAAGTCTAACAACTGCTTTCTACTGCTTCAGCAATAACAGCTCTATCAGATTACGTTACAGGGATTAAAAAGGTTAAAAAAGCAAAGCGTAAGAAAAACCTGATCTTGTTGGGGATGTTCTTAATCATAACAGTGCTTTTCGCGCCTTCGCAGAATTGCGAGTCATCAGGCGGAGGAAAAGCGGCTTCTTGCGGCGAGTCAAAAGAAGAAGAGGATTTAGGAACCCATAGTTGAGAGTTCCGTTTGATCAGTTGACGGCATCCATACCGGCCTCTAAACCCTCTTATAGAAAAGCAAGAAGAAGACACAGTTCGCATGCTGGGTTCATCCATTGCCTTTGCTTCGATAGGAAACCTCCGTTCTTCTACTCCGCCGAGCTCGTCGACTAATCGAGGTAATGCGCCGCTCATTTCGGCCATTTCGGGTTCGATAAGGGTGGTAACGGAGTACTTGGGCGGCGGAATATAGTATGAGAAATTTGGGAAGCAAGAGGGAGAAGAGTAATGGTAGTAGATCAAGGAAGGGTGGAAAAAGATAGTGCCTTTGCTAATGCAACTATGGTCGTATCGTTGTGGGATGAAAGCAGGGAAAATTTGGGGCGGAAGGGGACGACATGGAGGATAGATAATGGAAAGCTCGTCGTCGGCGGCGGTGGCGTTGGGGAAGAAGAGTGGTGCGTGGGGGTTCAATACTGTTGCCATAGCTGGCCAAAATGGAGTGCAACAAGGTTAGGAGGGAACTGCCGGAAGTAATCAGGCGGGGTACACTTGCTCGTGCATATAAGAGGAACTGATCAGCTCGTGCGTGTGAGAGTTACTCCAAGTGAAATGAGACAAAATGGACAAGATTGATAGAATGACAGGAGAGAGAGAGAGAGAGAGAGAGAGAAGGAGAGGGGGAGGGGGCGGAGGGGCATAGGCTGAAACTGTCTAGATAATCATTCATGTCCATATGCATTTATTAAGCTTAGACAGTACGAATTATTAGTTTTAATATTTTAATAATAAAATCATTTTAATTTTTAATTTTTTTTATTATATATACATAATAATAAATATTTTGTAAATTAAAAAAATTTAAAAAAAAAACATACTACAAATTAAAATTACAAGAAGAATATTGTTAAAAAAATTAAAATGAGCAAAATTACTAAATTGATTGGCGTATTTGTGAAAAAAACACAAAAATATTTAACTATGTCCACACAAAATCAAACAATTTGCAAAACTTTTTGGTGTATTCCTCCCAAGCTCATGAGAGAGAGAAGTGAGCGGGAAAGAGATGATAAAGAGAGATAAAAAGGACTATGAACAGATTGATGGATGTGGTTAGGTGGTGCATCGATGGAATTAATCTAGCAGCATATTAATAGTGCCAAATAAGTGAAGGCCTGATAGGGCTCTAGTTCTTTTAAGATTATTTGTCAGAAGGTTATTCAATAAAGTTAGCCTGTTTAGAAAAGATCAAGAGAGATACACAAGAGATGTTTTTACTTAATTGAGGTTTTTTATCAGAGCGTTGTTCAATGACATTAACATGTATGAAAGATGTTAAATCAAATCTCCATATGATCGATTATACCTTAATTGAGAGGAAACGAATGTCACGCAGGTCCCAAATCAAATGTGAAGAATTGTCTAACTTTATACCGTTACTATCTTTTGAAACTGAGATTATGACATTGTCCAAGGAATAGAAGTCCAGCTAAAGACTGCATAGAGTTTAGGATTCATTTGAAGCTTAAGAAGCTTTATGATTGATAGTTGATAATAAGAATATTTTTAACAAGTAAAATTTTGTAAGAACTTACTTAATTTTGATCATATTAGAAATCTCAACCAATGTTGCCCCCCAGTCCAAATGTACTTCTAATTAATAAAATTTTTGTAACGATGACTAATGGTTGAAATGTGATAGAACAATGTATGCTCGATGTTGCGATGAAGTTAACCTTAACATTGAAGGACTTCCCTTATGCCTAATAATAGGGCATGGTAAAGGGGCTATCTTGCTTCAATCATGCCTATGAAGTTAACATGAATGATTTTTGAGGTTGGAGAAAAAGTTTCCCCATAATAAGGAAACATTTCTCACAAACGATGTCAAATTATTACAGAGCAAAAAATTCATCGCAATAGAGAGATATGGAGTTTAGCGTTCTTGTTTTGTACAAAGATCCAGTACATAAACATATGAAAGAGAAGGGGTTCGAGAGTCATAAGAGACATCAAGATTTTTATTTGAAAAATACTAAAAGGAAAAAAAATTATGGTGGATGACCTAGTTAAAATGATTTCAATAATGTTTGTAGTCAATTATAGATGGTGCCCTTCCGTGAGGGGAAGGCATTGACTCAATGTATCATATATAACACATTACATAGTTGGGTAGGAAGAATCAAATGATAAAGGAATTGACTTGTTCATTTGGTTGGCAGGGCTGTATTTGGACAATGGAGATCAGAGGGACTGTAGTTGCGGCCTCATGGGCGACAATGGTCAGAGGGACCGCAATCGGAAGGTGAAGGTGGTTGAATGGACAAAAATATGAGGGCAATGGAGGTCAAAGGGATCGTAGTCAGTGGGTGATGGTGGTCGAATGGACCATAGTCTGCAGGTGACGAAGGTCGGAAAGATCATAGTCGGTGGGTTACGGTGGTTAGAGGGACCATAGTCGGTAGTGCTGGTGGACCGTAGTCGGTGGGTGATATATGGTGGTCTGAAGGATTGTATTTGACAAGCTACAGTGATTGAAGGGACCGTAGTCGACATGCAATATTGGTAGGGGGGATAGTACTTATCAGCCTAGTAGAGGACCAACAATGTTTGGCCGTGCAGGAGGTCCAGCGGTGGCTAGGTAGTGGTCTGATGATGGTCAAGTAGAATTATGAGGAGGTCGATGGTCGAGTGGAAGTCATGCGACAGTCAGCAATCGAGTGGAATTCCAGAGACAGTGTGACGCCCCAGGCATCCATAGTGAAAGGATTCGTCTGACATTCTGATCGAACTCCATAAAAAAAATCAGCTTTTTGAAGGGTTTTACAGACAGTCTGGCAGATGCTAAGTGGCGATCAATTACCGGTGGTAGTCCAAAAGTGGTTTGCGACCGAACAGTGGTTTGATGATGGTTGAATAGAAGTCTGACGATGGCTAGCAGATGGGTGGTGGTCTAACGATGATCAGGTGGAAGTCCAATGCTTGTCGATAGCCTGGCAATGGCCTGATAATGGTCGATGGAGGTTCACTGGCGGTGGTGTAGGAGCTCTTGAAGCCTCAGAGCTCTCTATCTAATATATAGCCAAAGGTCCCCCTTCATGTAGAGAGTGGGAGGGGGGGGGTCTATTTATAATTTTTTGAAAGTGACATGCCCCATAAAATATGGAGATGATATAGGGTAGCTTTAGAGTGCTCCATCGGATGTCCTCTATTTATTCCCTCGATCATAGAGCATTTTTCAAATAATTAAGTGCCTTAATGATGTCAGAATTCAATAATCTTGGACTCGTTGGATTCGTCTTGCCGAGCCACTTGATTCGATTATGAGCATGTCATATTCATATATCATTTGGTCATCCAATTTAGTCTTTAGACATTCCAAATAAGCTTTGGGCCCCTTATTTGGACCCATTTGGGCTTGGTTTAGACCAATTTTTGTGTTGTTGAGTTCGTTTCTTTGAGACGTCTATTTTGACTATGAGTTTATTGAAATCTGAGTTCGAATGGACCCAATTAATTTTGGAAGTGTCCAACTTAAATACACCTCAAGATTTGTGCACGATCAAGATGATTTTTGGTGACATATCAATGTGTATGGTAAAACTTGAGGTATGTCTGAAATATACATGATAATATCACTAATGTTTTGCAAGTTAATTTTTTGATTGGACACTATGGGGTTTTCCCTCATCAAATGACAATGAATATAATTATGAAATTCAAAATTGATAGATGTCATAAAGAGTATGGTTTAGCATCCAAGCACTATTAATAAATTTAGCTTTTGCAACACTTTTTTTGACCTACTGTAGTTGTTAAAATACAAAGTTTCTTATAGCGATTTAAAAAGAGCTGCAAACATCTTTCCCAACTCTCTTTGAATCGTTATGTTATATCCAGTTTTTAGTAGCAGTAGGTGTAGCAGTGATTTTTATCAATGTTATATTATAAAATTACAGCAGTTTAAAATGCAGCTAAAGGGTGTAACAGGTGAACGAAATATAATGCCAAAAAATGAATTTATAATGAAACTACAAAAATCAATAAATTATTATAAAAATATAAATTGAGTAAATATTAACGGCATACAAATCTTATGTTCAATGTGTCCAAGAGAAAACACAACATAGTTATTACTAATTTTTTCTTAGAGAAATTCTTCATACCCGAAACAAATAGTTCTAAATTTCTAATTTCACTAACAACAAGAAGATGAATGAAGATGTAAATAGTTCATCATAGTTTTTTGGTTGCGGTTCAAAATATCCTTTACAAAACCTCCAAAAATTTTTTGAATCAAATGAATCATGAGAAGCAACAATCAAAGTCACATAACTGACAAGCATAAACATTGAGAACCCATAGCTGGAAGCATACATGAGGGAAAAATATATATCAATTAACTACGATAAACATTATATTTCACCGAGGAGGATCACTTCAAAATATAGTGACATGAGAATATTAATGAATAATTATATACCTAATGGAGAATTTCGGTCGTACTATGAGGAAAATATTGGGTTGGGTTGACCTCAAAACTATCAGAGCATATGAATAAATCACAGCTGTAGATCTATCACCTATTATAATTGTACAGTCGGATTAGATGGAAACTTATTATTGGCTCAAGTATACATGTACTCCTTCTACCTATTTATATATAAAGACTTATATCCCTTGTTGTATGTGGGACGATAATAATAATAAACTTCTGAGATATTCTTTATCTCTTCTCTGTTCAAGATCCATCTTCTTCCCATCTGTTTCAACATGATATCAGAAAAGGCTCCTTGATCCTGACTCATGGCCGACTCTTCCTCCTCTAAGCTTAATTATCACCGCGATCAGCAGTCCATCGACGATCCTCTCATTCCTGCAACTCTAAAATTCGTTGTCTCTAATCTCCACAATTTTGTCACCAATCAGCTCGCTCTCGATAATTATGTCATCTGGAAGTCGCAAATTATCAAAATCTTTTGGGCGAATGGTTTCTTGAACTTTCTAGGTCCTCGCTCGTCTTCCCCCTCTCAGTTCTTGACGTATCAAGATGGACCAACATCCGCAAATCCTCTCTACTCCCAATTGTTGCTCACCGACCAAAATCTCTTCGCATTTATTTGTTCTATTATATCCCCCATCGGTCTTACCTTACGTTGTTTCTCTTGATTCCACTGCTGAAATTTGGACAACAATGGAAGCCC